GTTTGTGGGACACGTTGTGCATAATGGGCTGCCAAGTTTCACCCCAAAACATACAGTCAATTCACTTTATAGTATATTCTGTGAAGCGCTTTGAGATGCCTTAAAAATGTAATAAGGCGCAATATCAAACGCAAGGAATATTATTATCTTTAACAGAACGTAAATTACAGATTGGTGATCAAACTCAGCCTTCAGAGTGCTTCTATAGCCTTCAGCTTGGATACAGCTCATGACCCTTGTTTTCGGTATTCTGTTGATGTGTTTTAGGATTTCTGCTCCCTGAAGTTACAGGGTGAATTAAGTGTGATTTGGAAACTAAATGAATGCCTGTTTCACCTCAGCTTTATTACCCAGCAGATTCCCGGCATCGTAGGGACTCGCCATCCACTCATGATTTGCCAAGTGTGAACTGCTGGTTCCATCATCACTGCACTGAGCTGGCAACATGGGGTAAATAAAAATTCTGGACAACATTAATTTGGAACAATTAAAAGCAGATTGATCTGGAATCATTTAGAGGCAGTTTTGGCCTGAGAACACATACACCGGAGTAGGTGGGAGAGATAAGGTTAGGAATAAACTGAGACAGCTATTTGGAATCACAAATGCAAGATTGCTCATTGTCTGTTCCCAATCTTTTATAAATCCAATCTGGTCTCCAGTGGTTTTATCTGGACTGTAACTCACAGCTAGATTGTGCGGGGTTTGTTTGTTTGTTTATTTGGGGGTTTGCGGCCAGGGCACCGGGAGAGACAAACTCCCTTCTCTTTTTGATCTTTAATAGGAGGCACAAATGGGACCTAGGTTTAACATCTCATCCAAAGGTTGGTTATTGCTTGTTTAAAAGATTAATAATATTAAAGAATAGGGGGAAAGCAGTGGTCCTGTATGGTAAAAAGAAATAGATTATTTTAAGCATTAGCAAGTCAGTAACAAGAGTCACACTTCAAATAATCACAATTAAAATGAAAGGCATGTGAGAAAATCTGTCTTTACATAGGTGATCGGGATGTGGATCCACTGACACAATCTCTGGTTGAAGCAGAGGCAGTTAGTAATTTTAGAAGGAATCCGACCCGAGCTTGACAAAGGAATATTGGAGAGTGGGGTTGGAGTGAGAGGGAGAGTAAGTTAGGGATAAGCAAAAAATCAAAAGGCTGTTTCTGGGCTGTAACGTTGAAGGAACAGATCAGCTGTGATCTTATAGAATGGTGGAACAGGCTCAAAGGGCTGAATCGCCTACTCTTGTTCCAATGTTCTTAACATCCTTGGATAAAATGTTCCCGAAGAAAATTCTGGATAGAGCATCTCGGTGACTGGCGGGATGGTGGTTGGCGCTTGGCTCTGGAGTATTTGGCCTCATGTCCTGGTGACTCCTGGCACACACACCTCCTCCCACCAGGCCTCCCTCTGAGAGTCTCCACTCTTTGATGTCACTGGACTATGCTGCATCCCTGGAAGTTCTCTCTTCACTCCAGTATTGTGTAAAGTGGATAAGTTGCCTGAGTTTTGCAACATTGACAGATATTTTACTGCATACAGTTCTTGGGCAAGTTTCCTTACTCCACACGCCTGATAATAATCCTTCAAGAAAAAAAATATTGGTCATTTTCAATCCACGACTGTTTGTGGGACGCTGCTGTGCGCAGTTGGCTGCTGCGTTTCGCCCACAAATATACAGTCAATTCACTTTACAATATATTCTGTGAAGCGCTTTGAGACGTCTAGAAGACGTGAAAAGTGCTATATCAAATGCAAAGATCACTATTATTATTATTATTAATGCTCCCCGACCTTTACACCACACACACTGTTAATAATTATAATAATAATCCTTGCATTTGATATAGCGCTTTTCACGTCGAGAGGACGTCCCAAAGCGCTTCACAGAACACACTGTAAAGTGAATTGACTGTATATTTGTGGGCGAACGCGGCAGCCAATTGCGCACAGCAATGTCCCACAAACAGTCGTAGATTGAAAATGACCAATTTATTATTGTTTTGGGTTTTGGAGGGATTATTATTAGGCTCTGTGTGGAGTAAGGAAACTTGCCCAAGGTTTCGCCCTCTGCCTGGAATTGAACTCAGGTCTCTCACTTGCAAAGCGAGTGCTCTAACCACTGAGCTACAGGACTGTTAACATTAGAAGATTCATATCCCAGACCTGAGCCTCTCCCGGGTCCCAGTTTTGCTTTTTTCCCTTGATGTGAAAAATAAACAAGAATAAAAATGTGAGTTTGAACTGCGCACACACATACACATATATACACACACAGATATACACTTGCACACATATATACCCACACACACAGATGTACCTATATGTACACACACACACAGATATATGTACACACATACACAAATACACACATACATACATAGACACACACACTATGTCCACTGTATCTGTTTCAACTTTACATGTGCAATAACAATCAAAAGCCGCATTTCTTCCCAGTAAAAACACTTTATAATTAATCAGTGAAATTACTAAGATACTTAGCTAATTACGTAGACATCAGTTCGCGTGAAAACGACGGGAATGTTCACTTCCACTTACCTCCTTTTGGCACTCGCTCTGGGTTGAAATCTGACAAATCATTAACTGCCAACAACCCCTACTCCCCCCACCCACCCCCATCACCCTCTCTCTTTGCAGTTTGCGGTGCCATGTGAGTTACCGAAAATCCAACGCAAAATATGTTTACACTGATGTGTGTGTGTGTGGGGGTGGGGTGGGGTGGGGGGGGGGGGTGTTGAGGTTAACCAACTGAAATAGATGTTTAAATGGTAGATTGAGAGGCAGCACGGAGGTTCATCCAGAGTCGGAGAGCACAGCAAGAACAGTAAAGCGGCTCCTAACTCTGAACCACAATTATTATTTTCTAATTTGTATTTCAACTAAAAATCGCTCTTCAGACTGGAATTAACAAGTTTAGCGATAGCCGCATCATCATCGCGAACTCAATCTTTTTTCGCCCACAAAACACAGTCAATTCACTTTACAGTATATTCTGTGAAGCGCTTTGAGACGTCTTCGAAGACGTGATAAGGCGCTGTATCAAATGCAATTATTATTAAGTGTTTTATAAACTGATGAATAATATACAATGAGATCCCGACTTGTATTTTACTGCAGTTTCATTCGTTGTTATTATTGTTTCTACGTTGCAAAAGATCCTCCCTGCACAATTTATAAATATTCACTTTTTAGATACTTTTAGAGACAGACAGACAGACAGAAGCAATCGCCTTTATTTTGTTTTTAAAATATTTAAGTGATTTTTTTTAAGAGACAGATTGAAGGGCTGTCATGGGGTGTATAAAAAGAGAAATGATAATAATAATAATTAGGATTGCATTTGATACAGCGCTTTATCGCATCTTCGAGTCTCCTCAAAGCGCTTCACAGAATATACTGTAAAGTGAATTGACTGTGTATTTTTGGGGTGAAATTGAGGGGTATTTTAGAAAAAACATATCCTCCCAAACTGTCTGAGAGCCACACATTGTGACTATAGGAACATGTTATTTTATTTTAAACGCGCGGCTATTTCAGACCTTTCTATTTTATTAACTTCGTGTTGTTCACCCCCCACTCCCCCCCACACACTCACACACTCACACACACTCACTCACATACACTCACACACTCACTCACACACACTCACACACTCACTCACACACACTCACATACTCACACACACACTCACTCACTCAAACACACTCACATACACTCACTCACACACTCACACACACACACTCACTCACACACTCACACACACACTCAAACACACTCACATACACTCACTCACACACTCACACACACTCACATACACTCACTCACACACTCACATACACTCACCACTCACTCACACACTCACACACACTCACTCACATACACTCACACACACACTCACTCACACACACTCACATACTCACACACACACTCACTCACTCAAACACTCACATACACTCACTCACACACTCACACACACACACTCACTCACACACTCACTCACACACTCACACACACACTCACACACACACTCACACACACTCACATACACTCACTCACACACTCACACACACTCACATACACTCACTCACACACTCACATACACTCACACACACTCACTCACTCAAACACACTCACTCACATACACTCACTCACACACACACACACACTCACTCACACACACTCACATACACTCACTCACACACTCACTCACTCAAACACACTCACTCACATACACTCACTCACACACACACAGACACTCACACACACACACTCACTCACTCACACACACTCACATACACTCACTCACACACACACACACTCACACACACATACATACACTCACAGTCTATATCTCTCACTTTAACGCGTCTCTTTTTTAAAAAATAAATAAAACCGAGTTTGGAGGAGACATCAGTTGTGCACTGACTCAGTGCTCAGGCGTTTTGTAAAGAAAGTCGTTGAGTCGTTAATAACTTTTCACACAACTTTCCTGTGTCCTCCCAATGGGTTCTCGGTCTCTTTCTTCCTCTTTGGCTCTCGGATCCGCAAAGATGATGTGAGTATTTGAGCTTTGCCAACACTCAGAGAGAGAGAGAGAGAGAGTCAGAGCGGCGGTCCATTATACATGATGGGGAGAGAGAGAGAGAGGGAGGGAGGGAGGAGGGGAGAGTGGGGGAGAGGGGGAGGAGAGGGGGCGGGAGGGGGAGGGGGGGGGAGAGGGGGGCGGGAGGGGGAGGGGGAGAGGGGGGGGAGAGGGGGGCGGGAGGGGGAGGGGGAGAGGGGGGGAGAGGGGGGGGGAGGGGGAGGGGGAGAGGGGGGGGAGAGGGGGGGGGTAGGGGGAGGGGGAGAGGGGGGGGGGGAGGGGGAGAGGGGGAGAGGGGGGGGAGAGGGGGAGAGGGGGGGGAGGGGGGGGGAGGGGGAGAGGGGGGGAGAGGGGGGGGAGGGGGAGGGGAGAGGGGGGGGAGGGGGAGGGGGTGCGGGGGGGGAGAAAGTCCTTATTTAAGCCCCTGCCAGAGGTTTCACTGCTACATTAAAGGGAGAGAGTGGCCGCGGGCAGAGTCAGACCTCAGCTCTCACCGCCACCGGAGAGCACAGAGTGAGTGAGCAAACCCGGTAAGTGCTGACCTGACCGTCCCGTCCCGTCCCGTCCCGGACCCACTCCCACACCCACTCCCACTCCCACACCCACACCCACTCCCACACCCACACCCACACCCACACCCACTCCCACACCCACACCCACTCCCACTCCCACACCCACACCCACTCCCACTCCCACACCCACTCCCACACCCACACCCACTCCCACTCCCACTCCCACTCCCACTCCCACACCCACACCCACACCCACACCCACTCCCACACCCACTCCCACTCCCACACCCACACCCACTCCCACTCCCACACCCACACTCACTCCCACTCCCACACCCACTCCCACTCCCACACCCACACCGGACCGTTATCCACTGTAAATAACCCACTCACTCCCCAATAAGTAACCCACTCACTCTCTCTCTCTCACTCACTAACCCCGTAACTAAACCACTCTCACTCACTCTCTCACTCACTCTCTCTCTCTCCCACTCACTCTCTCTCTCACTCACTAACCCCGTAACTAAACCACTCTCTCTCACTTACTCTCTCACTCACTAACCCCGTAACTAAACCACTCTCTCTCACTCTCTCACTCACTCTCTCTCTCTCCCACTCACTCTCTCTCTCACTCACTAACCCCGTAACTAAACCACTCTCTCTCACTCTCTCACTCACTCTCTCTCTCTCCCACTCACTCTCTCTCTCACTCACTAACCCCATAACTAAACCACTCTCTCACTCTCTCTCTCTCACTCTCACTCTCTCTCTCTCTCTCACTCACTCACTCACTGCACTCTTCGCGGAGGAGATTCTGATTTCTTTGCTTTATTTGGGGGAAGAGTTTTGCGGTTGAGTGTGAAATCGGATCGTCTGTGTGTGTTTTTGGGGGAAGAGGGAGTCTCTGTCTCCGGATCCTCAGTCCCCACTGCAACTCCTCGGGGAAAGGTCGGCGCTCAGAACTTTTATAACTTCTTACACTTTTATTAGCAGTTTAACTTTGAAGAGTTGGAGTCATTTCTCATCTTTCACTCTCCGAAAGTGCTCCGGACACTCCGAGCGATTGTGTGGGGAGAGGGGAGAGGGGAGAGGGGGAGAGAGGGGGAGAGAGGGGAGAGGGGGGGAGAGAGGGGAGAGGGGGAGAGGGGGAGAGGGGAGAGGGGGAGAGGGGAGAGAGGGGAGAGAGGGGGAGAGGAGGAGAGGGGAGAGAGGGGAGAGAGGGGGAGAGGGGGAGAGGAGGAGAGGGGGAGAGGAGGAGAGGCGGGGGAGAGGGGGAGAGGGGGAAAGGGGGTCAATTTATCTGATTGATGTTGGTTGTGTTTCCCGTTGGGAGTTGTTTATTCCTCTCTCTGGGATGAGGAGGTGAAGATCAAATGCAAATTGTTAGACAGACAGAGCCCCCCCAACCCCCCCCCCCCCCCCACCCCCCCACACACACACACACAGCGGAATAATATTATTCATATTATTATTATTGTAGATCGTTGCAACAGTTGATCTCAAATCTCTAAGGATCGTGTTTGAAAGGTTCATTGAGGAATGTGGAATAGGAGCGTTAATGTGGATGTGATGACTCTCCTCCTGGTGGAGAAGGGCATTTATTGTACAGTCCCGAGAAAGTTTGAGGGGGTCAGGGGGAAGGATTCAAGAGTCTGGCAACCACGTCCCTCTCTGTCTCGCACTCTGTGTCTCTGTGTGTCTCCCACTCTCTCTGTCTGTCTTTGCCATCCTCTTGCTGTCTGGGGTCAGGTGAGTGGGTGTGGGTGCTGTGTCGGGAGGGTGAGTGGGTGTGGGTGCTGTGTCAGGAGGGTGAGTGGGTGTGGGTGCTGTGTCAGAGGGTGAGTGGGTGCGGGTGCTGTGTGGGGAGGGTGAGTGGGTGTGGGTGCTGTGTGTGGAGGGTGAGTGGGTGTGGGTGCTGTGTCAGGAGGGTGAGTGGGTGCGGGTGCTGTGTCGGGAGGGTGAGTGGGTGTGGGTGCTGTGTCAGGAGGGTGAGTGGGTGTGGGTGCTGTGTCGGGAGGGTGAGTGGGTGTGGGTGCTGTGTCGGGAGGGTGAGTGGGTGTGGGTGCTGTGTCGGGAGGGTGAGTGGGTGTGGGTGCTGTGTCAGAGGGTGAGTGGGTGTGGGTGCTGTGTCGGGAGGGTGAGTGGGTGTTGGTGCTGTGTCAGGAGGGTGAGTGGGTGTGGGTGCTGTGTCAGGAGGGTGAGTGGGTGTGGGTGCTGTGTGGGGAGGGTGAGTGGGTGTGGGTGCTGTGTCAGGAGGGTGAGTGGGTGTGGGTGCTGTGTCAGGAGGGTGAGTGGGTGTGGGTGCTGTGTCGGGAGGGTGAGTGGGTGTGGGTGCTGTGTCGGAGGGTGAGTGGGTGTGGGTGCTGTGTCAGGAGGGTGAGTGGGTGTGGGTGCTGTGTCAGAGGGTGAGTGGGTGTGGGTGCTGTGTCAGGAGGGTGAGTGGGTGTGGGTGCTGTGTGGGGAGGGTGAGTGGGTGTGGGTGCTGTGTCAGGAGGGTGAGTGGGTGTGGGTGCTGTGTCGGGAGGGTGAGTGGGTGTGGGTGCTGTGTCGGGAGGGTGAGTGGGTGTGGGTGCTGTGTCAGGAGGGTGAGTGGGTGTGGGTGCTGTGTCAGGAGGGTGAGTGGGTGTGGGTGCTGTGTCGGGAGGGTGAGTGGGTGTGGGTGCTGTGTCAGGAGGGTGAGTGGGTGTGGGTGCTGTGTCGGGAGGGTGAGTGGGTGTGGGTGCTGTGTCAGGAGGGTGAGTGGGTGTGGGTGCTGTGTCAGGAGGGTGAGTGGGTGTGGGTGCTGTGTCAGGAGGGTGAGTGGGTGTGGGTGCTGTGTCAGGAGGGTGAGTGGGTGTGGGTGCTGTGTCGGGAGGGTGAGTGGGTGTGGGTGCTGTGTCAGGAGGGTGAGTGGGTGTGGGTGCTGTGTCAGGGGCACATGGTTCGCAGTGCACTCGGAAAAGAACACAAATTAACATCTTAAAATGCGCTGCAAAAAAGCGACCATTCGCTCCCTGTCGGGGCTGTGAACAGCTCTACGTGAACGGGTGGATCAGAAAACCACTGCGAGGGAGAGAGAGAGAGAGAGAGAGAGAGAGAGAGCGGCCGCGTTGGGGAGGTCTGTATTCTCTGTTTGGTAACATTGAAGGTTTAATGTTCGGGATCAAAGATTGGCACCGGAACATCGCTGTACATCTGTCAAGATTTTAAATGACCGACTCTGCCTCTGGCAGCTCAGTAATGATCAGAGGTGCCAACTGACAGCTCACAGGCGGCCCTGGGCTGATTACAGGTCAATATTGTCTGTAACAGCCCTCCCCATGTTTCATTGATAATGTAATTGATATAAGTAATTGCTGGGTGATTCCTGGCACATTGAGATTTAAATCACAGCCACAGGTTTGTAGTGAGATAATAATAATCTTTGCATTTGATATAGCGCCTTGTCACTTTGTTAAGACTTCTTAAAGTGCTTCACAGAGATTCACTCCGGAGCACAGATCTCTCTAGCGCAGGTTTTCGGGGATCTCGGCTGCGCTTTGAGTCACAGAACAACTATTTAATTGGCCTACCAGACAGTCACTACACTTTACATCTTGTGAAGCGCTTTGAGAGGGTGTTTTGGTGACCTGATAAGACGCTATATAAAAAGCAAGGACTATTATTATTATTGAAGGGATATTCCGCAAAGACAATCACACCAACTGTTGAGACTGTGAACCTTCACACACTCTCCTTTCCAACCTGGGTTTAAACTCTTACTTTGCTTTTTGAAGGCAATTCATGTTCAGCAGAACTTTGTGATCATCTTAAGAGGGAGGGTATAAGTGAGATATTCTCACTGTCAGTGAGACACTCGCTGACAGTGAGGAAACCTCCTCTGTGTTCAACAGTTAGCTCCACTTTGGTGCACCGCAGAACAGCAGAGCACAACTATTTTCAAATTGTTGCCTGATGCCAAGTTTTTGTCTCAAAAAAACTTGGCTGTTATACAGTCTCCTGAGTTTAGTAAACTTGGTTGCTGTAGCGAACTGAGGCACACAGGCAAAGTTATCAATCAGCGAGTGGGAGCAGCGCGAGCATTATTAAACACTGGGGCGGAGGCGAGCCATGTTCCCGGAGGTTCAGCCAATGTCACAACTTCTAGCAGAGTTCGGAAACCAGAGCCATGCTGCTTTATTCATGCTGTGGAACCCTGTAGCTCAGTGGTTAGAGCACTAGCAAGCGTAGTGGACCTGGGTTTGATTCCCGGGCAGGGGGCGAAACGTTGGGCAAGTTTCCTTACTCCACACGCCTCTGTTTACCTAGTAGTAAGTAAGAACCTGATTGTTAGTCGATTGGTGGATCGCTTTTCTGGGAGTAACACTCCCTTCAATTTTTAAAAAAAACTTTGGTCACTCAAGTCACGACTGTTTGTGGGTGACTGCTGTGCGCAATTGGCTGCTGCATTTTGCCCACAAAATATGCAGTCAATTCACTTTACAGTATACTTCGTGAAGTGCTTTGAGACGTCTGGAAGATGTGAAAAGCGCTATATCAAAATTCAAGGATTATTATTATTTATTCACTCCGCATTTGTCTTATTAAATCTGGAGTTTGGAGCTTTTTAACCTAAAGGTCCTGAACCTCCATCTAGTCTCAGCTTGACAGACCAGTTATTAAAATTCTTAAATTCAGTCTCAATTTGGAAGTTGGTTTTCTTAAAAAGGAAGCTGCTTATTATTATTATTATGATTATTATTATTATTACGCTAAGCGTAGGTAGAAGTTCAGGCAGGTCTCAGGACAACAACCAAGTGAAAGGGCCTTTTGTCCCCCAAATAACCAGTTACTCATCAGTGCTGTGTGCAGCAGCCCGGGATCATGAACCTTGTTAAAAGCTGCTCGGTGTTGCGGAGAGCGAGCCCTCGATGGAGAACGGTCATAAGCTATTAAATAGAGCAATTTCAAGGCTATTAACAAGCCAAGAGAAAGCTGGAATCTCATTCAAATAACCACAAGCAGCAGGAGGCTCTAAGCGTATCTGGAAAGCTCACAACCTACAATCAGATCTCAAGCACTCTCCCATCGGGGTGGGGGGGGTGGGGGGGGGTTCTGAACATGTTATTATTATTGACAGAGTGCCTGGTGCTGGGTTTCCTGAAAGCAAGGAGTTCAGTTTTAAAAATGTAAGCAATAACTCAGCTAAATATCACTGAAACACAAGATATTCAGCAGCAGAGAACACCGCTGTGATCCACAGCGGTCATCAGAAAAAGGAATTTGTTAAAATAATATGTTCAATTATATTCTGATTTTTCTTCCCACTGGCACATGTCTCTCTGCCCCCGACCTGGCCTCCTCTCTGGGGTGCTGACTTCCCTGAAACTCTGGAACATTCTTCCTCTATCCCTTCTTGCCCCTTCTTTTCTTCGATCGTGCCTATGGTTACTTCCCCGGCTTGGCGTCGTGCTCCGCCACTGTCAAGGGCTCTGGGAGGCTAACCTGCGTGAGGCGCACTGTGTAAATACAACTTCTTGTTGTTGCCCTCCGTACCCCCTGCCTTGAGTGGCCATTATTGCTGTGTGAGCCTGAGCAGTGAGTGTCAGTCAGCAGGTCGCTCTACTGTAAAGGAGTCACACTGGATCCTGACCTCTCCCCACCCAGCTGCCCCCCACCCCATACACACATCCTAATCCTGGGAAGATTGCACCATTGGACCCGCCCCTGAGTGCTCTCTCTCTCTCTCTTTCCGTGTTTACAACAACAACTGGTATTTATATAGTGACCTATTTAATACTCCCGGAGTTGCTGACAAAATCTGCCTCTCTTCCCCACACTCCGCTTTCTCTGTGTACAGTCCTGAGCTTGAACCTACGCCCCCTGGTGGCAGAGTCTGTGTCGTTGGGGCTCAGTCTATCTCTTCCCATTGGGATCTTGAATATGTCAGTAACGCTTCCCCCAAAAACTCCTCTGCCTTAGTGTGAACATTCCTTGCTTCGCGTAGCCTCTCCTAATTGCCAGCTGTGAGTCTCACTGATGTTAGTGTGGTTGAGTCCTGCACACTCCAAGCACCTTTCTGTGACTTATTGTCTTTCCAGCAATCCGTTGTTGGCTTTGGGACGCGACCTTCCGTGAAGAGCGCTTTATAAATGTCAGTTGTTGTCGCTGAGTGGGGGGTGGGGAGAGTCAGGGAGCTGGTAAAAATTAACGATAGGAGCATAAATAAGCCTGTGACAGAGCAGACGTTCATTAACTGCTACAGAGCAGAAGCTTTTGGGGGCTGGACAGCTCCCCGCAGCTACCGGCCTTGTAACCAGCGTCAATACTTCTCCGATAAGCTGCAAGATCTGTGCTTGCGGAGCAGGGGTGGAGGGGGCACATGGGGGTGAATTGCGTGGAAATATTTTAAGTCGCAGTTTTCACCAAACTAATCGTGATACAGACTGAGGCCAATTCACAGGACGGGAATCAATTAAAACTGGAGTTTTTCAACTAAGAGATCTGAGCGGGACACTCCCTTGGTTTGAAGGATCCGCTCTGGAGACAGATCAAGTCGGAGCGGTGTTCCCTTGCATCCGAGTTGCAGAGTTCCGGATTTCTTAATTTAGAAACACATTAAGAAATAGCGCAAAATGGACCCCAAGATGTTGATAAAAAGGTAACATTTCCCATTGACAATGAATAGTAGCTCTAAATGTAAATCCCCCTCCCCCCATCACCGTCTTGCCTTCTCGTGCAGGTCTCTGGGAGGTCCGATGGCCCGGCCGTTGTGTTATTCCTGGATTCTACACTGTACCTGCTGCCTCCTCGTCTATTCACATCTGGTCCTGGAAGAAAAGAAATCCGATGATCAGCAAAGCCTCTCCACAGACGAGCACACCGGCATCTCCATAGTAGGTCAGTCCCTGGCTCGGCCCTCCTGTGTGCACAAGTCTCAGACGGGCTCAGTCAGTGTCTCTCGCGCTTCCATAGTCAGAAGATTGTGGGTTTGAGTCCCATGTCAGGGACTTTGAGCTCACAGTCGAGCAGAGAAACTCCCAATAGTGCTGTGGGCTCTTTTACGTCCAGCTGAACATAGCACTGAGAGGGGCGGGGGAGCTTGCTTTAACGTCTCACCTGAAGCATGATGCCTCCGACAATGCCCCCTTCTCCCCCACCCCCCAGCTCTGCACTGGAGCCTCAGAAAATTACCTAAACCTGTACATTCCTTTCAGAATTGCCAAAGGCCAGAATACGAAACATCAGGAGGGAAAATGACAAACAGAATGCCAACCAGAACAGAAAAGTAAGTTTAACAGAAATCAGACAGAGTGTGGGGTGTTGGGGGAGGGGGCTGGTGTAGGAAGAGCCAGACAAGGACCAAGGAGTTTGGGTGGCAAGGTACGGATGGAGAGGCAGGCAATAGTGACGGATGGGCAGAGGGAGTGAAATCAATGGCGAGGGCTGGAGGTTTGAGAGAGATGAGCATGAACACTGCCTGGACAGTGACCTTGTGTTTATTTCAACAGACACAGAACAACGGAATCGCGGTGGTTCACAGGGCGAAGAGGCCGAAGGCCCAAGGACAGTGTGTGAAGCTGTGGGGGATGTGCCTGCCCCCCTCGCCCCCCTGCTGCCATCCCTGCGCCTTCTGTCACTGCCGATTCTTCAACACTGTCTGCTACTGCCGGAAACTCAACCCAAAGTGCCTGGACAGAACATAGGCGTGATCAGTGTTCAGTGGGTGGGTTGGGGGCTTTGAAGAAGGAGTGTTAATAACCAAATTGAGGGTATATTGTATTTTTTTGGGGGGTGGGTTCCATTGTGGCCCGATTTGGATGATGGGGGTTTCCAATTGGATATTTTAGGAAGTTTTCAGCCAAGTTCTAACCAGCCTGACTGAGGCTGAGGTACCATTTTTTTTAAGCCTCAAAATTCGACATGGCACAGAGTTATCGGAAAATTGCTAAATCTGTTGTTAATTGCAGAAGCCGGGATTGGATTGGAGAATTTTCCGGCTATCTGTGTGTGTTTCTCTCTCTCTGTCCGTCCCTTGTCCTATTATTATACCCAAACCCAGAAACTCTCGATCGCTGTAATCATTGGATTGGGGAGTCCATGCACTAATGTACTATCAAACGCTATTAACAGCCTGTAATTCATCCCCAAGATCCGTAATTCAATGAATAACTCTCCTAAACCCCTGGATTAAATTGTATCAACCTCTCCCCTCCCCTCCTATTTTCTTGACGTTTTAGCAATGGGATAATTACATATTTCTTATGGAGAATTTTGTGAAGAAATGGTACAGATTTGAGAACCCTATTGCCTGATTTTCCAGCCTGTTGGCAAATCAATTATCCCCACAGAGTCACACCTACAAAATACATCCACTGCACTTTCCAGTAAAATCCTGTGAAGCGCTTTGAGAAGTCCTCCCAATGTGAATCGTGCTGCATGAGGCCTATTTTTATTACACATAAAAAAACTAATAAATAAGTCACTTCAATCCACAACTGTTTGTGGGACATTGCTGTGTGCAATTGGCTGCCGCTTTTTGCCCACAAATATACAGTCAATTCACTTTACAGTATAATCTGTGAAGCGCTTTGAGACGTCTAGAAGACGTGAAAAGCGCTATATCAAATGCAAGGATTATTATTTTTATTACTATTATTATCAAACCGAGGGCCCACCAAGCTCAGTCCATACCACAGTTCCTGAAAGGGACACCGGGTGCAACATTGGGGTGAAATTTTTAGTGCTCAAGAATTATAATGAGGAATACATAATGGGAATGCTGCAAATTTTCAAGCCAACATTATTTAAAATAAAAAAGGCATAAATCAAGAGAACCCAGCACATTGCAAACATTCCAGAAGCTTCCACGTTATTATATTTTGTATGCAACAGCTTATTATTGGTTAACGTGTATCGATAAATTACAAGGCTATTTTTATATTTATGTATTTTTGTATTTATGTGGAGTAAAACTCGACTCATTATTTGGTGCATTATAAGAGACTGGTCACGGAGTAATTTGGCTGTCTGTTTGTCTGGCTCACTGGCTGACTGGGTACAGCAGTGCCCTCAATCCATAATTAAAATGAAAAAAATTGGAGGTGTGAGGAAGGGGTGAGTGGAGAGGAGGAGAGAGGAGCAATGCGGGAGACACAGGGTGAAACTGCAAAGTGTCTTAGACTATAATGTTCAGTGGGAAGGCACCACACATCCCCAGCTCACATCTCCAGCACATTGCTGGGAACTCGTTCCCACACTGTTAGTGTAGACCAGTGTCCGCGCTCTGCCCGGGTACTTTGGTATAAAAATCTTGTGAATCAGTCGTTTTTGCTCGTATGATTATCTGCTTTCACTTTATATATTGCAATAAATAACTGCCTTCAACCGTGAGGTGATTGCAACTTACTGTATCTTAAATAAACAAATTCATAAATCAGAGAGATTTGTTGTCAGACAGTGTTTTAATTTACGTGTCCTGTAAATCAAAATATAATCAATTCACTCTACAATATATCCTGTGAAGCGCTTTGAGACGTTTCGAAGATGACATAAGGCGCTACATCAAATGCAAGGACCATTATTATCCAAGCTCACGCAACAACTAATCAACATTCATAGTCATCAGTCACTGATAACTGTCACCGGGGGGGAACCCCTCCAGCAGAGGCACGTGTCCTCACGAGCCTCTTGGCCGCCCGCTTCCCTTTCCGCCTTTCTGTCTGTTTCTCGCTGTGGCAGCTTCCCTGCCTCCAGAGGCAGCCGAGGCAGAGCTGCGAATACGCGAATCAGAGCCCACCAGCAGAACAGCATCGTTTCCATTAATAATAATCCTCAAATTCATAGATACATAGATTCATAGAATGTTACGGCACAGAAGGAGGCCATTCGGCCCATCGAGTCTGTGCGGCTCTTTGACAGAGCGTCACTTTCACTAACCCCAATCACCAGCTTTCTCCCCATAACCCTGCAAACCCGTCTTCTCCAGATACCTATCCAGTTCTCTCTTAAAAGCTGTTATCGAATCGGACTTCACTGCCCTTTCGGGCGGATCATTCCAAATTCCAACAACTCGCTGAGGAAAAAAATTCTTCTAACCTCCCCTCTGCTTCTTTTGGTAGATATCTTAAGACTGTGACCGCGGGTCACAGACACACCTACCAGCGGAAATAGCTTTTCCTTATCTCGCCTCATTCTATTATCTATTCTCATGTAGAATACAGCAGCTTATCACCTCATCAAGACATCTCAAAGCACTTCACAGGATATTCCTTAAAGTGTACTGATCGTTTGGCAGCCAATTTGACAACACGATATCTCACAGACAGCCATGAAGTGAGTGATGGATTTCATTTGGGAGATTACGGGCTTGGACACTGGAGAAAGAGAAACTCCCTTCTCTTTTCCAAGCCCCCCGCAGGATTGTTAATGTCCCTGTCAGTAGTGCACAGACAGGGAGTTGGGTTTAACATCTCACTGAGACAAACCACATTTAAAATAAAGCAGATTCACATCAAACCAGGATGATTTTTTAAAAACTAACTGATGGATACCTTGTTTTTAATCATAAGCCTTTATTGTCTCTGTGATATTTAAATGTTACTCTCTCACCCACACCCCGTTTCCCTTCCTTCAGTGCTGGGGAGTGAAACCTATTGGGATCGTTTCAGAGATTGAATTGTTGCTCGCATGAGGAGACAAGTTTCTTGTATTTATTTAAATCCCAGTTCATACTCCGCGAGTCTGGACTGCACTCCAGCACAGCCCCATTTTGCTGGACTATATTTAGAGTTTAAATGCCATTTTGCTTCAAGTCAATCCAGCTTTGTTTTGAGCGGAGGGTGGGGAAAAAAAGTCCGTTGTCAGCGGGTCAGTGTGAGGTGCCAAATTATCTCTTTGCCTTTCTTTGAATATCAAGAGGTGATTTCGATGCCAAGCAAGGAATGGGTTGCAGTGTACGGCTGGTAGGTTCAATACTTCACCCCTTACACTGTGTACCAGCACTAGGATTCCATGGCCGGCTGCCAATTAGATTCTTTCCTTCTATTTTCTTCCACTTCAGTCAGGCCCCATGTGATGGGGGAGAGAGATTGTGAGAGGAGTTGAAGTTAGTTGTCAACCTTCTCCTTCTTTTGAACCCATGACCTTCTGGGCCTGAGCGCGATCCAGACTGGCACTGTTCAGGGACCTCTCTGTCAGATATTGATGAGTCGAGAGACTCTCTCTGTAGTGTTCATTGCATTGCTAGTCGATGTGAAGTCCCAAGGTTTAAGATCTCTCCAGGCATCTTGAAGTGGTTACGAAAGTATCCATCCATCAGTTGTCCATCCTGTTTCAGTCCTGTCCAGTCCCGTCAAGAAATGAGGGCAGTTGCTCAAGAGTCCCTGGATAAATACACTCCTAAAATGGACCAGCAGAAACTTGGAGCACAATGAGACTTTCATGCCGTGTATGGTTCTGGTTAGCATTGATTAGAGATGTGTGAGCTGATGGCAGGAGTCCACAGCATCCCTGCATACCTTAGCAGAACAGGGTTGATTATCTGAGAGTGCAGGTGTTGGACGAAGCCAAACCATGTCATCGCCCTTCGCATGTGCCAAGTGCCTTGGCTCCACCAGCTGGTGCCTGGATTCTATCTCAATCACCCTAACAACAGGCGCTGGGCAGATTGATACATCGGCAGTTGAGGAACGGATGGCACCTGTCTGGTGGCTTCCCATCCTATTCCTTGGTACAGTGTGGTGGGAGGCAATGGGGTAGGGTGGGGTGGGGGGTGCGGAATTTGCAATACTTCTAATGCCTCTGGTTCTTTAATGATTCCCTACCATAATTATGGACAATTATTAATTCATTAGGGACAGGGATTGTCAATGTCACTTCTTTGTGTGAGTTGAGCTGTTCCTGGACAACAATTTGGTAATTTTTTTTGACATTCGGTACATTACTTTGATGAGGAGGAGCTAACAGAGGAGCTAACACACTTCTCTCTGCCACAATCTCGGTCATGTCACCAGACAAGAAATGTTTCACAGGAAACATTTTGGGCTGCAGAGGAGACTTGCGTCCAGTTGGTGATGCCCAAGGAGTAAAACACACACATTCCCCTCATGCCCACGGTTTAATAACAATAATCCTTGCATTTGATATGGCGCCTTATTCTGACCTCTCACTCCTTATCTCCAGCGTTTAACCCCACTCCCTCCACAAACATGTAAGGGCGAAACCGTAAGCAAGTTTCGTTACTCCACACGTCTCCACTTATCCTTACTCCACTCCTATCAAGCAGCAAGTAGGAACCCGGCTGTTAGTCGGATCGCTTTCCTGAGATGATAATCCCTTCAAAAAAAAAATGTTTTAAATAAAGATTGTGGTCACTCTTACTGCTCGTATGCTCAGTATATTCTGTGAAGCGCTTTGAGACGTCTTGAAGATGTGATACGACCCTTTATCAAACACAAGGATTATTATTATTAATAAACACTGTCATTCACATTTCTACCAAGTTGACAAATGACAAGTAATCACTAACTAACTGTCTTTTCAGGTCAGTTTCACTCCACAATTTAATGGCAGCGGTAAAAATATAGCCCAGAGATCTGAAATTCCTCCTGCTGCTAAGTTTAGACTCTTTGAAGATGTTCACTTAATGGGATTTTGGAAAATTTTACTTTCTCTTGAGAAACGTTGATTCGGATCCAAATTATTTGACCTGTTTTTTTGCAACAGAAGAAGAGAGAAATCTCAGCAGATGTTTCACATTGTGACACAATGGAATCAAAAGCGAGTGGTGGTCAGGAGCACTTACAGTGAAATGTATAGCTCACCATCAAATACCTCATCACTTTTATATGAACATCTATTGATGTCGCTCTCTCTTTCTCTCTCTCTCTCTGCCAGGGAAGCATGGTTCTTCAGTGGAGGAAAGAGGATGTAATTTATAGCTCCTTATAACGTCGGAGCATTTCAGAGAACTTGACAGCCAAGCACAGTCAGGTGTAGTGACTGTTTATTGGCAAACTCCTCTTTGCTCTCTGGTCATTTGCTCATTGCTAGTCATCAACCTTACCCTGTGACCAGGCAGAGCTTGATCATTATTATACTGTACATCACACCCCACGATGAGATACCAAGGGATAAACCCTGGCTGACGTTCTCTCCTCTCCCCCCAATTCCTTGCTAGTTCAGTGACACTGAAGCCAATGCTGGGCT